CGTGTCATCGCTGGCCATCCGAAATCGCGGGAACTTGCTACGCACTTGCTCCCAGGATTTTCACCCCGGAAACGCTGGCCCAAACCGGTCCTCCCAGGGGATTGCGGGTGTATGCGGCAGGACCTTCGGACTAACCACAATGGCACATTGTTGCCATTGACTTTAGGGCAAGGGTAAGGGCAAACAGCAAGCCAAAAAAGGAAAAAAAGGAAAGCAAACCCTCAGAAGGACACACGTAAGCCCAGTGAAGTTATCCTGGGATTACCAGCCGTTTATCAATTGTTTGCTGGCGGAAACGGGTAGTAATTGATTGGCGCGCGTACACTTACTAATTACTCCGATTTGAATATTTAATGCCAAGCAGCTAAAAACCCTTTAATAGGTCACTCCAGCGCTGCATTCGCCACCCACTGGCTGGCTGCGTTTCCGCTGCATTTTCCTGGAAACCTCGAGTGTGGAAAATTAAATCCACTCGCCCAGCCGAGGGCCGCAAGAAGTAAGGGAGAAACAATATAAAAAATATGAAAAAATAAAATAAAAATAAAAAATACCAGGCATACGCACACACCATGTCAGGGTTGACATGAGCTCGAAGGTAACACAATACTCCAGGCAGCAACTACTTAAAATGCAATTATATGCATTATTATTCGGCTGCCGGGCGAGTATTTTTGTACACGAATACGCGGAATATGCCGATGGTATGGGGGCCGGCGAGAATCGCTGGAGAAAATTGGAAGACGACGGGGACGACGAGTATTTAAATGCCCACCTCAGCTACTAATTATTACCAGGAAAAACGCTTGAAATTGACGTTTCATTTTGTGCGGCGGGGCGCGTCAACACCCCGCTGCCCATCGAGGGGTTAAGGGGCCACGGGCAACGCGATCCAACTCATCGACTCACCAACTCATCTCCAGACCGCCTGTTTTCACTCAAGAAAGCCAAGCAGACCAGAATCCAACATCCAACATCCAGCACCCAGAATCGAGTATCCAGAACCCGATCGTCGTGATTATGCACATCGAACTGCAGGGAACAGATTAAGGCACTCCAGAAATTATGAAAAAATAATATTTTTCTTGGAACTGATACCATTTTAAACGAATTGGTACTCGGCACAGAGTCAACAAAATGAAGATCATGGGAAAGAGGCAAAGATGCAGTACGGGAATGCGGCCAAATGAGAGCTGAGGTAGGTAATCAGAGCTGCTGAGTTGGATTTTAAACGCCAGTTTGAGATATTTCGAAATGCTTATAAAGTCGCTGAAAGTATGCACTCAGCTATTTCAGCACACATGTTCCGAGTCAGTTTAGAGTTTGGCTATTCGAGCAGCAGTAGCTCTTGTTGATTTACATTTCCTGAGGTGCTGCAGTGGATTTGGCTACTTTCGCTGATCGCTCGCCAGATCTGGCCGGGCATCTCAGTCGTCGGCAACGCGGACGGCGTTGCGTCAAGTGGCAGCATCGGCCAGTCGACTTGTCTGCCACAAGTCTGCCGAGTTGCCAGCTCTTTGGGCCCCACTTTTTCGGGTTCCCAGGCTTGGGGCACGGCGATCATGTGTCTGCCTGTGTGTGCTGTGTGTATGTGCCAATCGGAGGACTGCGGCTACTCCGATGACTCCACAATACGGGAATGGGACCGACTCACCAGCCATTCGCATCCATTTCCATGCGGCGGCCTCTCTATTCAGACATTCTTCACTTGGAAGCGTCGACACTTCAGTAAATTAGTTTCGTAGAACTTTCAAGACGGCCCACACTAAGCGGCATTTCCACAGAACACTTGGAGAAAAATCGAAGCTTTCAATCTGCTGCCAATTACAGTTGCTCGATCCGAAAACCGTCGGCTGCCATCCGAACCACTGGCTATATGTATGCGGCAAGAACCCATCAGGGGCTTTCAAAGTCAACTCAAAAAGCGAATGTATAATTTCGCCTCGAAATTCTTGCGGGGTTGGAAATTTATTCACACAGAAACGTGTAATTACCCAGACACAAAACATAGCAGAATCAGCAATGCACACACTCGCTCACACACACAGGCCAGCACACTCAGACACTCACCAACACAGGGCCAAACACGTACGCACACACACACACCAATACCTCGAAAATTGGCAGCACAAAAAGTTCACTTCAAGTTCGTCTCTGTTTGCTGCGAGCGAGGAAAAGTTGAGGAAAAGTTCGGGGCGAAGGCGGAAAGAGCGGGCGGCAAGCCTGGCAAAAGTGGGCGGTGGAATAGGGGTGGGCGTGGCAGGCGGGACTGCTGCTACTGGCATGGAAAATTAACAATTTTTCAATTAAAATCAATACGGAGTGTGTACTTGTAGCCGTAGTTTCCTTTTTAGCCGGGCAGGGTTAAGGTGGGCATTGTGGGGTTAAGGGGCGCCCAAGTGGGCGTGGTTCTGCTGTCAGGGTAATCTGCATATGCGCCTGTGTGTGTGTGTGTGTGCACTTCATGAAAATAGCTTAAGTGCCTGAAAATATGCAACGTATTCGACGAGCCAACTTTGGTTGCTTGTGTGTGTGTGCAGGATAAAAGCAGCATGTGTGTGTGTGTGCTTGTAAGGGTGTGTGTTTATGTTTGTTTATGTATGTGATGTTAGTTTTTCGGGCGCCGCTGCTGTCATCACGCTGGAGTAAAATTCTAAAGCTTTTTTGCTTCAAATAGTGCTGTTATTTTCACTGACACTGTCTGTGTGTTCGTTGCACTGCGAAAATAGCAAGAGGTGTATACATGCATGCGAAAATAAGTTTTAAATTCGACAGACAGCTTAGATGTAGAAGAGATATAAATTAGCAGATTTTCTCTCGGTGTTGCTGACTCCCCTCATCGTTCTTGTACTTGTGCATCGTTTTGCGGTTGTTTCGGTCTGCCCCAGTATTTTTTGGCCGTCTAACTGTTGAGTCCTTGCCCCTTGCACACATACTCACTCACTCACTCACCCACACTCACACTCACACACACACTGTGCTTGTGGATGTGGCTGTGGAGAGAGCGAGAGGGACAGACAAGGATAGACTCCATTTGTGGGCACCGCAAAAAACGTTAAATGCAAATTTACGCTCCTGCCACTCCTGCCACAAACTGGCGTACAACTAGCGTAGCGCCCACACCCCTTTCTGGGTATCCACCCTACGCCCTCCTCTCCTCCCCCCCCTTTTCTTGGATTTTCCGCCCATTTTCCCCACCAACACACAGCTGTGCACACAAAATGGCCGTGCTTTGGCGCCATTGCTTCACTCCAGTTGTCCTTCGCTCCTGACTCCTTGTTGTTCTTGTTGACTATTGCCGTTATTGCCAAGTTGGAGAGAGACGGAAAACCCCAAAGCAGCGAAGCAGGAGGAGGGGAGGGGCAGGAGGTCGGGAAGCTCCAGTGGCCAGAATTGAAGTGTTAGTAGTAATGCTACTAATTGGACTCGCTTTTAGCAACGCTTCATGTGCCCCCAAGCAATCTCGATCCCGAGGACCCAATCCCAATCCCAAAGCCAGAGCCTGAGCTCCTTCAAAGTGCTCAACACACATATATACATACACAGTGCTAGTGTGCGTGTGGCTGATGGTATGGGTGTGGGTGTGGGTGTACTTCTCGAAAGTCTATAATTGGAAAATTTTACACACTCGAACATCAATTTCAACAGCGGCATGCAGCATGCCAGTTGAAATGTTGAAACGCTAGTCGATATGCGGATAATAGGCCGGGGGCATCAGTGGGTTAATTGGCAGCGATCATAATAATTTAGCTTGCAGCTTCTCTATGCCGAGTACTATTTAATTTAGATGCTACCAATGAGGATTCTAGGTCACTTTTTAAATATCTCAAATAGCAACAAATCGTTCACTTTTAACACTTTCTTCCCCTACATTGCACTTGTTTTCCGTGAAGCCAGAACGATGCTTTTTGCTAATACTTAATGGAACGGAACCTTGAAGTGACTGCCATTAGCAAACCGGCGAAAATGCGCGAAAAAACCCGATTTCCAACCCATCCGTTCGACGATCCCGAACTTAAAGCAATTGAGTGAGCGAGGTGAGTGGTTAAAAAAGGGCAAATTCGTCAAGAAATCGCGCCATAATTACTCTTCTTTTTTTTTTGCTAATTAAACACACGTACACACACACACTCATAGTCCTTTTGGGGTTCGCCTTTTAAGGGTGGCAATTTGGCTCAACTGAGGCTCACTCGATGCACGCACACATACAGACAGTGTGCCCGTCTCGCTCACTCGCGCGGGCAAGGGACTTAGAACAATAACGGCCATTAAAATGCTTAATTATAAATTCGCAAACGTTGCTGAAAATTTCTACGTTTTTTCCCCACGCCACACCACACCACGCCGCCATCCGTCTCCCTCACACCCTTATCGCCGTCTCACTTGCCCAGCGTGAAGCGGACGTTAAATGATTTCCGGATTTTGCGTTGTTCGCAAAGCTGCGCACACTTCTACCTATGCACATACCACAATGTGCCGTAAAATGCAATTTTTGTATTGGCTTTTGACTAGTCTCACACCGAACTGTTGAGCAACAAAACGCATATTATCGAAATGATCGAAATACTATCGATGTGCCTGCACAGCAAGAACTATCGATAGAGCTAAGCCCCAGCGCCAAATGGGCTTTCAAGCAGGCCAACTATACCCTTGGGCATAATATAGAGTACAGAACAGTGGAGGAGCTGCACTTTAGATTCCCCTCGTGATTGCCGGCCTTAGGCGGATGGCCATGATGACGCTGCACACACAGAAACTGAAGGAGGTGTGAAAAATCAGGGCGGAGACATCCAAACAAACGTATGTGAATTGAAGAGACAAAAGGAAATGCAAATTGCTTGGCCGCCTTTCTGTTTTGCCAACAGCAAACACCTACTCGGCGGATGTAATTAGTTTGTTAATTCATTAGGGGAATAATGCGAGCGTGGAGTGGAAGGACTGAATTATCAGACGACAGACAATGCCCCCATATCGGATTACGTGGGCAACCGATGCTGACTCACCTGTATGCGATCCTCGGGCAATTCTGTCTTCAGAGACAGCATTTCGCGGGCATAGACATCGGGATAATGGGCTTCCTTGAAGGCCTCCTCCAGTTTCTCCAGTTGGTAGCTGGTGAATATGGTGCGGCTGTGTCGTCGCTTCTTTTTCTTCTTTTTGCTGTTCGGGTTCACGCCGAAGCCGTTCAAGCCCTCCATGCCAAAGTCCTTGGGCGCCAGGGAGCCTGCAAGGATTCGGGGAATTAGAATTTGTCTTTCACTCTCCCAAAAACTACTTTCAATATGCGCCCCCCTTTTTCCCAAACATCTTAATATACTCTTGTCAAATTAGTTGACAAGAATCCCACGACCCGATGCCGGAAAACATGTGGCGCTGAAGCGCGACTTGAAGTAGTTTTAGTGGTTTGTTATTTTAATATTTAATAATTGTATCTAGTTTCCCACTTGTCTGCAGTTTATCTCCTGTTTTTTTTTTTGTGTGTCACACATCATCTTTTCTTCCTAGGAAAATCCCACTTGAGAAGGCTGTGAAAAGCGGGGAAAAGTGAAAGCGTCGAAGGAGGATGACACTGGCTGGGGATCCCGATTCCTATTCGGATTCGGATGCGGATTCGGATCGAAGGAAGGAGCTGACAGCCGTTGACAGGCGCGATTTGAGTTTTCGACGAGTGAGTGGCAGTGGAGTTTTTGCACAGTGGAAAAGTGAGCAACATTCGTTAGCGATTTAAATACTGCAGTTAAAAAACAATAACAAACCGAGAGGTAAGCCAATGTCTCGCCATACAAACAACAAGTATTACCATCGATTTTATAGTATACATTTCCTTGTATGCACACAAAGTTGAGCGGCCTGCAGCTGAGTGGAGGATGAGGATGGGGATGAGGATGAGGATGCTGATGAGTCTGGGGATTGAAGATGAGCCAAAGACTGGGGATCGAAGCCACTTGGCGGATTGAGAAACCGAGTACTTCGAGGGCTGCCAAGCAGCCTTGTTTTGGCCAAATCGAACTTGGAGCCCGAAGCACCCGGAAAACATACATAAATGCACAGTTCGATGATCGAGTGGTCTGGACCACTCGGCAGTTTGGAAAGTACGGAAAAGTATGGAAAACAAAACACACACGACCAGCGGCGCATCGTGCAGCCCGAAAAGGAAAAGAAAAACAAAAAAGCAGGGAAAAAAACATTTTGCATTGAAATTCGATATGAAGAATGAAGTAGAAGCAGACTGTTGTGGCGGCTGACGAGTTGTTCAAGTGAAGCCTCATCCTCATTCCCATTGCCATTCCCATACCCATTCCCATCCCCATTAACATTCCACTTCCCGCCCGTTTTTCCCACTAAATGTGCGTGAAAAATATCTGCGCTGTGCTGCTGGTGAAAATGCGTGTAATGAATGCTGAAAATTGCATCTTGAATTACCGCGCAAAAATGCAATTCACTAGAAGAATTCAAGGTGTGCTGAGGGAAATTTAATTGTAGTGGCTGTTTGGGCAAGGAAATCGATTCGAGGCCCCTCACAATTATCGAGTGTGTATTTCACGGTCAGCACTTAATTGATCCACAGCACCTGCTCTCAATATATACAAATGTGTAGAAATGCAAAATTAAAAATAACCAGCGATATGATAATTAGCTTTAATAATTTTAAATAGTATACGTATGCATGCATATCCAAGACAAATGTTGGAAACAAGTTAATTTGGAAGCGCACAAAAGTAGGCAACGTTGAATTTTTTGCTCGCTTTTAATGAGCACACACACACACGCACAGACTGGAATGCCAACATGCACACACACTCACATGCATCACAACATATTAGCAATTAAAATTTTCTTAGTTAATTACTTTAAGCAGACGACGACGCAGGATGAAGGACGAAAGGATGTCGGCGACGTCAGCTGCCAGAGCAAAAAATGTCGCCATCCAAATGAAAGGCGACAACATTCTTCCATCTCTCTCGCTCCCGCTTCCGTTGGTGCCCTCTCCTTCTTGCCCACTCACTTACCCGCACAAAGAAAGTAGCGCCTTCTCTTTCTTGCGTGGCAGGCAAGTGAGTTTTATGAAATTTATGCGCATTTCACTAGAAAATTTAATTAGGAAATCTAATTTGCTCAAAAGCGCATAAAAAATGTTGTCGCTTCTGAAGGGGAAGGCGGAGGGTGAGGGTTCGGTTGACTTTCGCCCCCAATGCCGCCGAAATTCCACCATCTCTATCCCCATTTCCCTTTCCGTTTCATTCCACGGCGTTCCTCTGACTTGTTCATTTTGTGAGCTGCCTCCTTTTCGTTGGCTATCCAAAGTTACTGGGAGAAAAACATGCTCATTTGAAGTATTATTTTTCACTTGAAATGGCATTCGTTTTGAAACTAGGAAAAGTGCTTGCATATTGAGATACGTATGGGTTGAGATAATGCTGCATACTTTTCGACACTTTCTTAGGTCGTTTGCAAGGCGTAGTGATCGAAGGACTGCCGGAAAAGTGCCCAACAATGTTTCCGGTGTGGCTTTTCCTCTGCTCCTGTGCCTTCCGCCCAATTTTCGCCCCGCTGGCCGCCCACTTTCCCGCCCACTTTCCCCATTTCCGCGCCATGCATCAAGTAACCAACAAAATGACTAATTCCTCGTCTCTGTGTTGGTGTGCAGCGGTTGCGTGTGTGCCAGTGTGTGTGCGTGTGTGTCGCATAAACAGTTGCATGGCAAAATACGCTAATAAAGTGGCTGAGTTGTTGGCAACGCGGCAGCGGCGCAGCTGCGCAGTCGCTGCCGGCAGAGGCGATGGCAGCGACAGCGGCAGCGGCGTCGACGACGTCATCGTTGAAGGGGCATTCGCAATTCGCAATTTGCATTAGCACCCAAAGTGGCTGCGTTTTTGTGCATGTGTGTGTGGACTTCTGTGGGAGTGTGAGTGTGGATGTGAGTCCTGTGCACTGCCATTCGGATATTCGCTTATTTTCGTACGCTTTTTTCGTACTAATTAGAAATGAAATTGAATTATTTGCTTGAGGAATCAAACAGAAGCCACAAACGCAAAAAATCAGAAAGAGGCTACGGTGAGTGGACCAGTAAATGCTCCAATTAACACCTTTGATAACTTGCTTTTTGATGCCGCTGGGTTAATTTCAGCTGCCGGAGCAAAAGCTACTCGATCATCATCCCCATTATCATTCCACTTATTAAATAGGCAACATATGCCTACTAATTAAATCACGCCCGAGTGTCACACAAAATGCTATGCAAATAAATACAACTCATTATCATTGCATATTTGCATGAGCTCATTGCTAATGGGTTTCCCTCTTTTCGGTGTGATTTTCCAAGAATATCGTATTACCAACGCGTTGATTGTAGGGCAAATAATGCAAATAGTACGCGGACCTTGCAGTCGCCTTCTATTAACCCATATCTAACTTTTTCGCTATCATCACATCCGCTGAGTTTCCTGCACTTCGTTAATGCTGCCAGATTTCTCTGGCCAGCAAAAATAAAAAACACAATTTTCACGTGCTCCGCGGAAAAGTGAAAGAGCGAAAAGTTTTAGTGGCAGTATGGTTGCTGTTGTTTTCCCACATTGTTGTTACTGTTTATTGCTGTTGTTGCTGCTGCTGGAGGAAAAGCGCTTGCACTTAAAGTTCGTTGAGTTCGCTTGGGTTAGCGAAGCGGAAAGGAAAGGAAAGGTGGCCTAAAGTGCGCCCAAAGACGAGGAAAGGGTTAAGAGGCTGTGCCGCCAACTTGGCTATTTCGAAGCCAATTTTCACGCCTATTTTAGCGAGCGTCTTTGAGCTTTTTCAAGATTTTTTTTTATCACTTTTTATTCGAAGAATGACTTATACAGATACGGAATTGCATACCTTAAGACAACTTTGCAGGTGTTTTCGGTTACTTCCCATGCCAAGTTTCAGCCAAAGCGGACAACCCCAAAAATGCGAAAAATGGGGGCACAGCACAGAGGTGCTGGTGGCAGCACCCGTCACGTTAACCAACTTTGACACAAAGCTGGCTAAAACGCTGCCGCCCAAAGGGGCTGGTAACTACCAGTGCGCTGCCTTTTAAATGGTGGCATCGAGGATGCCCAGTGGGTGGATTTTCCCACTGGTGGCGAAACAATGCAGTGCCGAAGAAGCAGCAGTCACTCGACAAGCAAGGAATCTAATTAACAATTTTCCATTGAGTGCGCAAATTACGAGGAACAGGCACAGAAGGCCGACGGCACCGAAAGAGACGCCACTAGCCTGGCCGAAAGAGACAGCACCAGGGTCGCAGGGGGAGCCGGCACGCAGACAGCAGCAATTAGACGGCCACGAATGCCGGACAATTTCGGAGCGGGTTTTTGGTGTAAATGCCGGACAAAGTCGATGGGGTCACGAGCGCCGAAATTTGCATAAGAAACGGCAAGTGCACATAAAGATGGAATTGCGAATAATACAATAATTGGGGTATTTTTAGTTGAAATGAATATCTGGCTGTTCCAAATTGGTATTGCTAAAACTTACTACCTATTTTCCGAGCGGGCAGATATCTTCATCGATTCTGTGACTAATTCACTTTGTTCTGTGGCCGATTCACCGGCTGTATCTTAACCCTTTGCCACCCCAGCCCATCCACATGCACATGTGTTAACCCATCTTGCGCGTTTTATCACCCTGACATATTCACGTATTCAGTCAACTGGTGCGATGTGAATTGCGATTGGTTTTGCCTCACACATGCGAGCTGTGTGTGTGTGGTGTGTGTGTTTGTCTTGCGTGTTTCAATTAAGCCGTAGAATTTTCTCGGGGGCCTTGCTTTCGACATGGCCAGCAAATAAAACTTAGACACGCTCGAACAAAAAGGATTCTAGGGGGGTAAGGCAATGCCACGAAAGGGGGAAAAAATGCCAATTAAAATCTTAGCCATGACAAGTGCAACACGATGGTGCAACAGCCCCCGCTCTCCACTTTCCCTCTCTCCACTTTCCACTCCACACTTTTCCAGCCCAACCTCCCGTTTTTCAAGGCAAATTGCCCTACTTGTCAGTCTCTCGGCTGCTTCGCTTCTTCCTTGGCTTTTGTGTAATCTTGTCTTGCAATCTGCTCGCAGCAAATGGCTCAAAAGTGCCTGCCCCCGCCGGCCCGCTTTCCACCGCATTTTCCGCCGCCCCCTGCCCCCCGACCGCTTTTCCTCTGGAAGAATGCAGGCGTCGAGTGGAAGACTTAAGCAGGGCACTTCGCCCATAAAAACAGAATGGAAAGAATGCGCGGCCAAGTGGCCAAGTTCGTGTTGCCTGGCCCAGTCAGAGATTAGAGTCTTAGAAGAGCCCACTACACGGCAGCAACATCGTCGGCAGCAACATGCAACAGCAGCAGCAACAGCAGCAGCAGCAGCAGTGGAAGACACATCAACTTCAACTTCAGTTGCAGCAACAACAGCGACAAAAGGGCAATTAAGTAGGCCCAAGACCTCGGCAAAAAGAGTTAAGTGCCGCCAAGTGGGGCCTCGGATAAAACAATCAAAGGATGCCTTACATTTAAGCCGAGACTAAGCCTTCCATTTTGGGTTTTAGTTTGGAAGACAGTTTAAAAGCAGCTTTCGGTTTAGGCACTTGATCAATTTGTGCCAACTTTTAGCGTCTTGCAATTGATTGGAAGCCCTTTTCTAAGGCTTCCCTAAGCCATTTCGACCCCCCTTCGAATTCCTGCCCATTCCGCTTGTCCCATCCTTTCAACCAGTTTGCAGATCCTTTCTTATTAGACAAGTTTATGTGTGCGCCTCGCATTTCTTTCGCCTTTTGTTCTGCGATTCCCCTGTAGTTGTGTTCGTGTGTGCCGTCGTCGAAAGGGTTAAGGCGGAAAGAGATGGCACGACCAGGGAGCGAAAGAGAGGGCTGACAGGACGACAGGATGTGTGAGGTTGCGAGGTTGCGAGGATGTGTGGAGAGATGTATGCGCGTGCAAATTGCGTATAAAAGCGTATGTTGGAAATATTTATTGCCCGTTACGAATGCAACAAAATGAAAATGGAAATTTCATTATTTGACTTTTGTCTCTCGCATGTGTGCGTGTGTGTGCGCGTGTGTGTGTGTGTGTTATCCTCGTTTTTTCGTTAGCTAAATTGTTTATTTTATTAGCAATTTGGAGAATTTATGTGCGCGACATGTGAAATTTGCGCTTCACCCTTTGCCCTCTGCCCCTTGGCCACGCCCCCGGCCGCAGGACCTGAAGGCGGCAGCATCCATGACTCAAATTGAAGCGCAGGAATGCCCATTAATTAGGGCGAAGCGCGAGGCTGACGCCCTCTGTTGGTCAAAGGATATTCAGCTTTTTTGGCCTTCGTTTTGTGGGATTGCGCCAGAGGATTGCAGTCCGAGGAGTCCAGGATATATGGCCTACCTTTAGGCTACCCCCGAATTCGATTATCCCCTGGAATGGCAATTAAGCATGCGAACTTACCGGGCAAACAAGTTGCGGCTCCTGCGGCGAAGCTTTTAAGCTGCGGAAATCCTGCAACGAAACGGAGAGTCACACATGAGTATGGGACTATACAATGTTAATGCTGTTTATTAGTTTCCATGTTAATGGCTAATGGCTTTCCATGTCGATTGGGGCCTTCAAAGCGAGTGCATACTGTACAAGCAGCATTCGCGTTGGTATTTTTGCATTTATTAGCCCGACGAGAGCCTTCGAATTAACACTTAAAGAACTGAGAGGCGCAGCGTTGCAAGCACATGGCATTTTGAGTTTGTGCACATGCACAGCGAAAAAAACCAAGATAAATCACAATTATACAGTACGAAATGGTTTGTACATCTATGTTATTAATTATTTAGCAAGACCACAGGCACTCATTTCTAGATGGAAAGTGTGTAAGCTTTGGATCGCTGAGAACTGGCGGACTTTTCTCTCTGTGCTGCTGGCACTCAGAAATGCAAATCGGCGACCTCGCTGTCGAAAACGCGGCAGGCACTCCTTGCAGTCTTAACCCCTATCTGGCCCTGCCAACCCTCCGGACCCCACACACCCCCCTCCAGCCGCCCTTCGGCGAGCGAGTGACATATCAAAGCAAAATCAAATTTGACAGACAACCGCGCTAATTTCTGCTCGATGTTTCATTGTTTCAAGGCGTTCGTCTCGTTCGAGTTCGTTGTGGTTCGCTTTTGGCTTTGTTTCGGGGCTCCAGAAGGGGAATCGGTATCGGAATTGGGACGGGGATTGGGATTGGAATGGGGATAGGGATAGGGATTTGGTTGGCGAGCTTGGAACTGAAATTGGGACGCTAACTGAGTACGTCAATTGTTTTTTACGGTGACGCATTCGCATTCGCATTCGAGAACACAATGAGCGCTCCAGACCTCGACATATGCCAACAATAATAACGATGATGGTGATGGCGATGGTGATTATTACGGCGGTAATCAGCCGCATTTATTAGCTCTCTGCCAGTTGAGAAATAGCAGTTGTCGCTGAAATTCGATATTACTGCGCTGAGGAATTGCTGAAACAAAACAAGGCAAAAACAAGAAAAAGTGGGAAACTGCAAGTGACGAAGTATTTATAAACTGATTAACGCACGACAATAGCTGATATGGGTCGCATAGCGAACTGCAACTTGGGGTAAATATGGGAAAAATATGGGAAAATACCGGGGATAAAGGGGATTCAGGGAATCGGGGAATCGGGAGCCAACGGCGGACCGCACAAGGCGATCGTGGAGCGTGTGGGTCGTGAGCATCCGCCGCCATCCGCCGGAGGTCATGATGCACAGCAGCCGATTGGGAGTTCCAAGCTGTATACTCGCCGCCATGCAACTCGAATGTCGTGAGTGAAAATCAAGTGAATTAATTAGGCGCATGGAATACTATCGAATTTCAGTAATGAGCCAAAAAAGTGCAGTTAACCATCAAATGTCGTTTCTGTTGAAAAGCTGTAAGCTCAATTAGCCCAGCAGCTACAAGTGAATGGGCAACGTTCGGGCATCCGGCTGTGTGAGTCCAGTGGTTCGCCAGGTGAATCACTTCGTGGCCACAATTGAAACAATTTCGAGACGAAAAAGTGCTGAGTAGCCACTCCAAATAGCCAGATAGATGGCCATGCCATGAATAATTAGCAGTCGTAGCTGTTGATTGTTGCTGTTTGAGTTGCTGCTGTTGGACAGTGAAAGCGGCCAAATTCCGAGCTCAAATACGAATACGAATTCGAATTCAAATCCAAATCCAAACTCAAATCCAAAGCCAAATCCGTAGCGGAATCCCACTTTCGAGCCGCTGAAGAAGCAAAGCGGCCGCCGAGGAAACTCAAGTGCCAAATCGTGTTTATTTGCGTTATAAAATTAGCGCAGTGCAGGGGCGTCCGCCAAGGGGTCCACCAATCCCCCCAAAATCCCCCCAAAATGGCCACAAATGGCGCCCCTGCAAGTCGCTGGCTGTGCAGTCTAAGTGAGTTGAGCTTTTGGGGCACGAATTGCCCGGCTCTGATTGCCATGTGACGGGGCACAAAATCCAGCTTATGAATACATGAATACGAATGCGAATACACTGGGCAACTGGACTCGAATATGAGTGTTTGCTATTTAAGTTTGGGAAATTAGCGGGCGATTAGGCATTCATTTACATGCGTCTCGCAGCGCTGCGAACGGGCTAAGTCTATATAAATTATAAACTACTATTCACCAACACATAGCTATCGCATTTATTGCGAGTGTAATTGCTGATTATCGTGCATGAATTGCATGGCGTTCTGTTTGAGAAAATTCGAAATTATTGCGGCTAATTCCGCTCGATGCGAACTGCTGCGAATCAACTGGCACTCACACCCGCACAACAGCTCACCCTTGCACTCACACTCACACTCACACCCACACCCACATTCACACTCACACTCGCACGGGCACGGACAAATTAACCCTTGAGTGGCACTCGGCACTTCGTTCGTCAAGTTGCTTTAATTGACTTTTAAATTCGCAAAAAATCAAAGCGAAAAAGTGTGACAAAGTGCCAAAAACAAGAATGTGAAGGAAATATGTAAGTGGCGTTGGGCGGGGAGGCGGTAAAGTGCAGCCAACAACAACTGAAACAATAACTGCACTCGTGGAACGCTGACGCCGAACATTTTCACACCTCGGACAATGCAGACTGCACAAATTGCGGGCCGTCAAGGGGTTAAGCAGGGGGTGCACCGCTCAAAAAGTAGAGGGCGAAAAAAGAAGAAAAACAGAAATACTCACAAAAAAGCGAAGGGCGTTTGTCGACACTTTCCCGAACTTCTGCCACATTCTCAACCCGCTCTTTTTTCTAATTTACGTCAACGCAAAATCAAAGCAAAGTCAAAAGACGACCGCACACAATGTCCGAGGCGAAACTACAATTAAGAATATTTTTATCAGCCAAGGAGACGTGCATACACATATATATAATGTATATAATGGGGCTGGCTATTAGCAAAGTGGCTCAAATATCAAAGGGCGGCGCATTCGGATACTTGGCTCTTCAATGGACATGACTGACAGCCAGCAATTAGCAGTTCTGGAGTCATTGATTGCAACACATCCGTTGCCCCTGGAAACGATCATTGCGTGCAACTTATGCGATAATCAAGCGCAAGAATATTGCGATATTACTGTGGCATATTCGTAACTAAATGTAAACCAATAGGCACTCATTAGGCAGTGCCTTAATGAATTCAGCTAGCTTTAATGTTGAACCCGTACCAAGTTACTTACTTATTATCTGCATACGTTTTTGGCATGCCGAGCTGAAAAGTGGAAAATCCTAAATGGTTAATTTCGAGTGCACCCACACATGTGCAATGTAGCCTCGCTGTGTGAGTGTGTGTGTGCGTGTGTGTGTGTGTGGCGGTGTGCAAACACATCAAAACGAATGTCACAACAAAGCGACGCGCGGAGCCAAAGTGAAAATTGTCAATTAAATGTGGGGGAAAAGCGAAAGCGAAGAAAAATCGCTTTTCTTATTGTCGTTGGGCAACCAATTTTCCGATTTGGGTTTCCCTTCTGGTAAAAGATCAAAGGCACTTAATGGAAGGCGCCAAATACTCAGCACTGGACAGGAAATCCGCACAGAAATCCGCCCGAAATCCGAGCAAACCTGATGCGATTTTTTAATTGACAAGCTGGCCACGCAAATGGGTATAAAATCAACAACGGATACCCGAAATATTCGTACGACATGCGGAACGAGTTGAAAATATGCAAAATTAAATAGGATGACGCGAATGAAAAGCAGAAAGCTTAACGCTTAACACAACAGAACGCAGTGCTAAGAATATGGGCGCTGAACTAATAAGCACGACTATTACATACCCTCTACCAGTGGCTTTCCACTTTTACTACCATCGCAGGGCATGCCAACCTTAACCAATTGGGTATAGTTTAAATTGCCATACCAATCCGCTAGTCCATGCTACCCACAAGCATTTAGCACCAGCCAAGTGCTCTTTCCCACATTTATTACACGCAAATTACGACGAAGCTGTGGAAATGGGCGATAAACGGAAAGGAGTATTGTAATTAAAATAACACGGAAAAGAAAGCCGCACAACATGCGAAATAAAAATAATAAAACCCACGAAAAGGTCCGGAAGTGTGGGGTAAACACACAGATTTGAAATCAAGAAGTCAGATTCGATATAAGTATATATACTCGTATGGTGCAAAAGTTGCGTGAGTGCGCAGTGAAATTGGCACAGTGAATCAGAATGCAGAGCATTGGAAATCGGTGGTGACGATGATATTTCAGCGCTAATTAAAATAATAATAACAATAATAACAGCTGCCACTTGAATCTGCAGGATTATCGGAGGCCCTCGCTCTTTTCACAGAGAAAACAAATTTGGTTCTGTTATCAATGGGATCCAAGCTATACATAATATATTCATAAATAAATTGATATTTTCATACATAAATTTAAATTTACCACCGCTGAAATGTAACAACATTCAAGCTCGTTGTCAAATGCAGTATGAAAGCGAAAGCTCCCAGTTTTTTACCGTGTAGCAGTCCCTGCACAGCTTTTCATGCCTGTTTCACTTGTGTTTATCTGCGTTCCCTGTCGTCGCTCCGACTTCGGATGATATTGCCACTTGCAAATGGGCTTTGAGTCGGGAGACAGCAGGTCGACTCGAGTTCGCTGCGAGTGTGCGGGCTTTTCTTTCAGTGTGCGTGTGTCATTGCCTGTGCTGATCGCCAAACAAAGGCGCAGCGCACAGTGGCACCAATCGCTTGAAGCCTACTCAAAAAGCGCCTCACGCTTATTATATAGCAAATCAAATTTCCGCTGCCTCTTAAAAGAAACCAACACACTTTTCCAATAATATCAGAAAAGAAACAATATTAGATTAGTGTGTCCCGTTTCTGCGATGTTCAGACCAAAGTGCACCACTTCGCACCACACACACACAGTGCAATTAGCAGCTCAAGCTGAGTGGTGGTGCTCTGGAGTGGAGTGGTTTCGGAGGCGGATTGGCGGATCGGTGGTGCGGCGGATCTGCTGAGGGCGGTGTGTCGCAGTTTCCAGTGGGGCAAAGCTGATTTGGCGGACGATGGACCGCTGATTAATTCCTTTTTTATGCTAACTAGGCGGCACTTCAGACACCGATTCGCCCCACTGTGTGCGTGTGCGTGTGAATTGAATGTGTGTATTTGTATCTGTATCCGAATCTGTGTAAGTATCTGTGCGCGAGTGCTGGTTCGTCTGGCAGGTGACAAAACCAGTTGCGATTGCTAATTGCGCTTAAGCTTTGATTGTCATTGTAAATGTGCACGGCACACAGCGAACAGAACGCTTTTCAAATCGCTATTGGGAAATATTTGTGAGCGAAGGCACTTTTCAATAAAGAATATTAACTTTCCTGCGGCCAGTATATGCATAAATTCAATTAAGCTCTGCGATTTGCAACCTATTAAAGGCAATTTGAGTGGTTGGGTGGGGACAGTGGCTTACCCTGCGCGTGCAACAGCGGGTGGTGCGGATGGTGGGGGTGGTTGTGCTGCAGCGGCGGCGGCGGCGGTGGCCCCCCAACGGCGCCGTGTGGGTGGTGCGGATGGTGGTGGGGGTGGTGCTGGTGCTGATGATGGTGGTGCACCGCCGCGGCCAGTTGGTGGGGCATAAAGGCGGCTGCCACCGCCGCATGGGCATTGAAGTAGGCCATTCGCGAGGCGGCCGCCATGGTCATTTGGTGGTGCTCCCTGTACTGATGGTGGTGCGGCTGCTGCTGCTGCTGCTGTTGCTGCTGTTGCTGCTGTTGCTGCTGTTGCTGCTGCTGCTGCTGGTGTTGCTGCTGCGGCTGTGGCTCCAAGCCACTCGGTAAATTGGCCTCGGCCGCATTTGTTGCTGTTGCTGCTGTTGCTGCTGCCATTGTGGCATTTGTTGTCTTTGGCGGCGTCGGCGTTTGACGCTCTTTTGCCACTGTTGCACCGGCAGTTGTTGTCAGATCGGTTGGCGCTTCCGTGGCCGCTGCCACCGCCAAGCCCAGCAGCTCCTGAATGGCGAACGGCGAGCGCTGCGGCATTTTCAATTGCTAATATTTCGATTTGCGTCTAGACCGTTGTCAAAATAAAGTGATTGAAAACAACATGCTAGCCCAAAGACGAAAAAAAAACAAAAAAAACACAACAAAATATATGTATGTGGAAACAGTGGCAAGTTGGCAATGTTGTAAGACTACGCGAAGTGCGATTTGCGATTTGAGATTTTGTCGCTGGCACGCGTCGCAGAAAAACACACAACAAATTCGCAATAATTTCCACGTTAAACTGTTGCCTGCGTTAATGTGCACCAGGAGTTTTGTCGTCGCAGTTGCTGTTTCTGTTTGCTGTAGCTGTTGCTGTTGCTGTTGCTGCCGTTATGTTGCTGCTGGTGGTTGGCTTTCGACTTGGCTTTGCATTTCGCTTTGGATTTGGCCAAGGAGGCATTCAGCTAACAAACGGTAAACGGCCAGCGGAGCTTTGCTCTTCCGAGGACCTCAAATCATGGCAAACGCAGCAGCAACATCTGCAGCAGCAGCAGCAGCAGCAACAGCAGCAACAGCAGCAACGGCGGCAACGGCAGCAACAGCAGAGCGCCGGCAGCGAAGCTCGCGTCGACTGCGCTGCCCCGCAACGGTAAATATTCAGGGGCGGTCTCTGTCGCACGCTAGCCGCACTCTTCGCCGCTCAGCGAGTGCGAGAGAGTCAGCAGCATGTGGGCCTTCCCCTCGGCAACATGGCGCATGTGCAACATCCATTCAGCGCGAGAGTGAGCAGTGCAGCAAGTGCCTTCCAAGCAGCAGCTAGCCGTGCTCCTCTCGCGCACGCGTTGCCTTCCAGTTTTCCCACAAACTTCCAGTTCTGGCCGAAACATATGTGTATTGGTGCGCTGCCTTTCGTTGTGTTAGTGCCCGATTGCCAGAGTGTGCGGCGCCCATTTTGTGTGAGTGACAGAGAGCCAGAGAGCCAAAGAGCGGGAGAGGGCGACGGCAGCAGGGGTGGGGTGGCGGTAAAAAAGGCAAAAACAAAAATATATTTATTTCGCAGACCCGAACTCGAACTCGAACTCGGAACTCCAACTGCTCTCCGTTCAATGAAGGACGCCAATTTATGGCCCAAAAAACGAGCCACCATTCGGTTTCCAGCCGTAGAAACTACTCACTTGTCGGCCGCCTAACAATGCCCTTCCCTTCCCAAAAAAAAGCAGTCTAATTAAAATTTTCGCCAAAAACTTGTCCTATTGAAATGCGTAAATTAGCATTTACACCACGTCGTGTGCGTGTGTGTTTGTGCCAGTGGGAGAGTCCTTGCTGCGCAGCATTGCAGAATTTCAAGAGATTTTTTGGGGTCGTATGTGGGTTATTGTTCTCAGGGAACTCGGCCTTCCACGGCAGTAGTTGTTGTCCCGAAATTCGGAAAATGGTTCGGCTTGATTTCGGCAGTGGAAAAGTAGAGCTTGTAATGGACTTGCAAATTACTGCCAGGCAATTGAGGGACTTGCAATTATCTGGGTCCCGAAAGGGATCGCCTACAAAGCTCATACACAGATAGAAAACTCGTTTGCCATGCATAATACTAATCTGGTATTTAGCTTTTAAGAAAATTTTTACGTATTGATACACATTGATTACATTCTGCTTAGGCACACTAATTTCTATTTAAAAACAAATTAAGCAGTGGACAATAGAAAGCCACGATCGATGGCATCCGAACGGATCTTCTGGGGCTTTTCTCACGCCCCCACAGTGGGCTCCCCCTATGGAGAAACCCACGCGGCAATTAGACAATTGAAATGCCAACGCTCACACGGCCATCGCAGCGAAATCGGAGCGGATCGCAACGGAACGCTATAGCACCGATCACATTATGTGTACATTTGTATGTACATACATACATACGTGTGCATATCCGTCGGGCCACGCAGTCTGGCATTTAGAAATGAAAGAAAGAGAGGCAGCACGGCCGTGAGAAAGAGACGGCGGCAGGCAGAAGAAAGGAAGGCAGCGAGCGAGGAGTGCGTGCTAGAAGAATTTCGCGGGTAATTCGATATTTTCTTAAGCAGGTTGCCCCCGAATGATTATGATTCATTCAGTGGGTATGCGAGTTCTTAAGGCGAAATTCGTATATTTACTGGAATTTGATTGTTAATTAACTTGCAATTACAATCGCCGGCGATCCTGTCAAAATAAGTATTGAGTTTCGCCGCTGATTATGGGTAATCCGATATTGAAGATATAGTTCGTCTCTATTTCGCTGAGAACCATATAGTTTTCACCTGGCCATTATCCATTGGTTACAGTTCAATGTTGGCGATGTCATGTTTTACTTCTACTTTTTTTACTGGGTCCTCTGGCATGTCCTTCAAGTTTCCAGGAACTCGGACCTGTGTGCTTTTGTTTTGCAAATATTTTGACGTGCCAACGAAGGACTGACAACCCGACTACCTGGCCATAGCCAGGCTATATGTATTTACATATATAAATATACTCAGATGTTCACATATAAATTTGAATACTTTGATACCGGGTGCCTTATTTCGTCTCGAGTTGCTCTTCACATTTCTGGTAGTTGACGTGGCCCGCCAAATGATTTAATTATGATCTCAAGTGCGAAAGTTTACCAAAATCGATTGTCAATTATGTGTCGAGATTTATTTACTTAACTATTATTGTCTTGGCACACACACAATGCACGGCACACAATCGGAATCGGACAAACTTAATTATGAACAATTAAAGTTCAGTTACTTTTTGTGTAGGCTTCCCCCCAGCGAGTTTCTCGATTATTTTTGGAGTGATGGCCGACTGACAGGCGCTATAAGGCTTGCCAAAACAAAACAAAAAAAAAGCTGGTCGAATAAAAAAAGCAATAATAAATAATAATAAATCAAATGGCATAAATAACAACAAGCACATTGTTGTGTAATTAAGTTGTTAAGTGTGAACAAATCTCGGTAAATCTTCGCGGGGAAACGGGGGTGTTTTTTCAAGGGGCTTTAGACAATATTATTGTCACACAATTGTTGCCGTGTGATTAGTTGAAACTTTAATTGCGCCACAATGGCATAATAACAACGATAATGGCCCAAAAAGCAGAGAAAAATTTCGGACCGAGGGTTTTTGACTTTGGCATTAAGGCGAAGTCTAAATACTCTGAAAAGTTTTAAAATATACCTTTAAATATACCTATAAGTTATATTTATCAGAAAAATGTTCACTTCCTTTTCTAAACAGGAGAACTTATTTTTTATGCAAAGAGAAAATGAATGCTATCAATAAGTGAAGAAATATACAAATATTTAAAAATAAGAAAAAGTGACCCTTGCATAATTATGCGTTTTGAATATTTTCGTTGATACCAAATAATTTATAGAGCATACTAATTGCATTTACCGTACAAGTGGAGGCATTTGGTATTAGCCGTGAATTATAATCGTCATTATCATATTACTATTATTTATTATTGTTATTGTGGCTGCTATTTCTGTGGCTCTGGCCATTGTTGCTCGGGCTGCTTATTTCGAGTTTAGTTTTCAATTATTTAATTGTTTATTTCGCATGGGTAACGTGAGAAAATTAATTTCTGCCTTTGGGAAAAGACAAAGTTTGCGGGCGCTGCCCACAGAGGGCGCCTCTGTTGCGTTTATGGCTAATTTTGCACAAAGCCAATCAGCGAATCCTTGCTTTGCGGTCGGTTCGTGTCTTCGCTAATTAATGAAAGTTTTCGCCAATTATTTAATTAGTCGAATGCCACGGCTTTTACCTCGTTTATTTTATGCTCTATATAATACAAAACTATACATTCGAAATAGGCTAAATGAATCTACTTTCAGAGCCATCATTACACATATCCGTTTTATAAATACCGCCGCCACTCGATCCTCTCATATGAACAAAACGATATGCAAGTCCTTTAATGGGATTATCTGCACTAATTTCCGCCCAGCGAAAAGTAACAGACGAGCTGAAGTTGAAAATACTCGATCATCATTTGTGTGAGCGACGGGAAAAATGATTTATCATTCGAGGGCACTCGAGCGTGAGGATGCTCGCTGACAGGCGCTAGTTCTTCGACTGGGCTGGGCTTATGTTCTTGAGGTACATCAAGAAAAACGCAAGCCCTCGTTAGGCGTCACCAACTGGTGTAAAAAATTGGTTATTTTTTAAAGCATTTTTGTGCGCTTGAAAGCATGAAACTCGGCATTTAAACTCCAAATGGCACCCGTTTGAGCCCCAGAAACCGTTTCTCTCAGTGTACCGCCCTGTATCTGGCTATGCGAGCTACCGAAGTGGCCGAAGTGTGTGCTCGACAATGACGACGAACCAATTTATGGGACAGGCCTTCGAGTTGGCACTTGAGTAAACCGAAAGGCAAACACTGCACTACACACAACCCAACCGGACTGAGGGGGGAGGGGGTAGGGGGTGTGATTAGGGGTGCTGGCAACTCTGTCCATCGACGGTGGTTGTAGCCTCAAATTGGAAGATAGGCAACACAGAAATACGCAGAGCCCAAGCAAATTAGTAGCGGCACACAAAAAAACACAATAATAATAACGAAAATAAGGGAGCGAGGGGTGTGAAATTCGAAAACCAAAATGGCCGAATTTCAATTGAAGTGTAACAGAAGAAGTGGCTGGCCGCTGAGTTTACAGTGGCATTCAAAAATGTACGCGTACCCCCGATGGCCGCCGCACTGAGAGAAAACCAGTGGTGAAACGAAGAATGCATTTGCCTGCTCAAACATCAATCAGAAATACACACCTTGTTTAATACTAATTGTCTTAATAAAGAGCGTATATAAAACACCATGTTCTGAATACAGATACTTTGTTTTGATGGGCTTTTAATAGGTGGCCGTAAGATTGAACCATAAATTCGCAGTGTAAAAATATGAATAAAAACTCGCTGAGATTGAAAAATGGGTGAAAATAGGTAAGCAAATCGCACTTGGCCCTCAATTGGCTCAGTGTAGCTCGCTGTCGACGGGTCGCTAATGATGATGGAAGGTCCCGCGTCTCGTTTATGGGTTAATCAAATTGTATGAGCGGGACTTCAGCATTTCAGCTATGCAAAGCAGCCGCCGGGGGCAAGGGAGTGTTAAATGGGAGTGGACT